CAAAGGCGAGCCCTTTCAATTCAGCAGCGTCGTTAGGGAAACCAAAAAGTATTCTTCCTATAATAAGTTCCACTTCAAAGGATTTCTCATTCAACGGTGACTGCTTCGCACTTTTATTAAGTCCGGGCTTTTTCACTTGGCGGAATCATCTGTTTGGTTATTTTTCATCGTGTTTATTTTTCACCATTCACACAGTACTTGTATTAAATAAACAAAGAACAATCGCTCTGCAAATAAAAGTGCTTAGGTGGGGGGAAAAAAAGAAGGAGGGAGGCAGCGGAGGAGGAGAAGAGCTGGAGATGGAGCTTCTTCCTCGCTTATTTTTTTATCTGCTGAAGTTGGGGATGGGGGGGGGGTGTCCTGAAAAAGGGAAGGGGGGTTGGGAGAGAGGCCAAAAAATATGAGGCGTTCTGATGAAGTGAAAATTGACTGCGCTAACACGGCATGAAACTAAAGGTCAATGCAACTGTATCTTAATAGAGTGTCTCGAATCGAGGTGGACTATTTTAAATGCAGCTTGCTTTTGCTGCGCTCATTGCCATAGCAATCCTAACGCTCCATGTTGATGTACCATAAAAGCAGTAGTTTGAATTTCAAAGAACCTGCCTTTGAACTTCTCTCTGCCTGATTAGGCGCTTGCGTGGGGTGTGTGTGTGAACCGCGGGAGCGGGGTTTGGGTGCCGGCGGGGCGCGGGGCGCAGCGCCCCGCGTGTCCGTGTCTGTGGCTGTGTGTCCGAGTGAGAGTACGAGTGTGCGTGTGCCAGCACAATCCCTGACACCTCCTGGTCTGCTCTACCACCGGGAAGTGGGGGTGACAGTCCATCCTTCCCAGCGCTTCACAACTCCTCCAGCAGCACGAAACACGGACCAACAACCCACCCTCCGAAAAAAATCCATGAGTATCCCTCACCACCCCCAAAAAGCAAAGCAACAACTTTCCCCGGGTGGGGGACTCCCGTGTGAGCCCAGCATTTCATGCCCATGGTGGGTGTGTTGAGGGGGAAGCAGCCCTGTGGGTCCCCCATTTATTTCCCACCCCCACCCCCCGATGCCATTTCCCACACTACCCAGATTTTTTCTCCCCTTCAAAACTTCGCTAGCTCGGCTCCAGCCTTTAAAGGGCAGAGGGGCAGAGATGGTGTGTGGCGAGATGTCTCCCAGCCCCAACTACAAAGGTAGACGATTTAAACAGTGTTTGCTAGAACCACGTTTCGCCTAGGAAAAGATGAAGTCTTTGATGATGGCCAACTCGGTGTCAATAAGTGGTTTTCTTTGAGCCATATTCAGATGGGAACGTCTTGCTTTGCCAATTGCCATAGAAATCCTAACACACCATGAAGATTGTCCAAGCGCCAAGCCTTCCGTTCTGGGCTAAATTACTTTGAAGTGGGGCAGGACGTGCACTGGTCAATGTTAACTCTATAGGGCGGGCAGGGAACACTAGGAGAGAGGGGCTGGGGAGGGGGAGAGCCCAAAATAAGAAGGGGAAACTTGTTTTAGACACTCTATACAAGGTTCTGCTCATTGTCAGATATCTTTTATCTTTTATATTTCCCATGAATGATTCATGTCTCGGTGGCTTTGTGTCGCCCTCCTTTTCACAAGAAACTTCATTAGAGAGCTATAAGTTTTCCCATTGATTGGAGCCCTCATTTATGAGTGTTTTTCTGCTTCGTATGTTGGTTATTGTCATTCTGCTTGAAACAACTCTTTGCAACCTGTTTCACCTTTACCACATTTAACAAAACTGACTTAAAAAACACTCTAACCTTTTGGTGAAACTGTTCTTGACATTTGGACCAGTCATTTTCGAGCACTGGTATAATAGGGGGGTGGGGAGGAAGGGATATCATCCCGGGCTACTTGTATTTATTTTATTAAAATATAATTTTTAAGGAATGAAATAATCCTGACGATCCTGGAGGATGCTGACACACGACTCTGCCCAGATTTTTTTCCCAACAGCGGGTTTCACTCAGTTTTCCTCTCTCGAAAGAGAAATACGTGTCCTCCTGAAAACTTTTATTTTTCCTTCCCCCCCCCCCCCCCTTCCGGTGATCTCCTGGCGTTATTTGTCGCCTGACCTGACTCTGTATTTCAGAATAATCATCTGTCATACGGGTTTGCCACTATGGCTTTTACTGCAGAGTAGTGCTACTCAGATTACTAGGATCTGAAGAGGAGGCTGAGAGGAGCATGTTTTTTGTTTCTCCAACAGAAATATTATAATTTTAATTGATTTTGCACTTTGGTGAGGTGTCCTTGACAGAAATGAGCAATATCGTGTGGATAGAGGATAAATACTTGACTTTTCTCACTTTTCTCCGTGTCTTTATCTATCTATCTGTCTGTCTGTCTATCTATCTATCATATCCGTCTGTCTGTCCTTCCCTCTTTTTCCCCTGGGTATGGAAAGTCAGCAGCATAGCACCCAATTGCTGCATTATGAGGCGGCAGCCCCCCAAATCCTGCCTGTGTGTTCCCACCACAACCACCACCATTATCCCGGCTGACTTCCAGGGACAAGTACCCGGGAGAGTACAGCTTGAGGCCGCCGGGGGGAAGCAGGGACGCCTCGGCCCTGAGCATCCTCCTTCTGCGTGGCTCCAAACAGAAACGTAAATCAGAAGAAGAACCTTATTTACTCACACGTTTCTCTGGGGAAAAAAAAAATCCAGGGTATCTCAGCCGCCCCCCAAATCTCCCAGTGCTGCTCTCACCCTGAGAGGCTGTGGCTGGATCTGACTCTAGCTACTGACCCCGGGGGGGGAGGGGGGGGGAGTCTTTTGGTCTGCTTCTGCCCCTCGTCTGTCAGTAAGGCACATGCAATACGTAGAAATAATATTTTTTATTAATTTGCATGATTTTCTTTCTTTTTTTCTTTTTTTTTTTTTTTTTACTTCTGATGGTTTTTACAGAGATGAAAAGAAAAAGTAAATTCGTATTATTTTATTTCGGAGGTATCATGTGTCATAAAATGGATGGACAAGTGTGTGACCCTGCGTGTAGCAAGTACATAAAAATAGTGGCATATCCCCTCGAGCCATAGTTTTTAAACCCTGCCATGTAGTAATGTATAGTGCAATCTGTTGTTGAAAAAAACAAAAAATGCATAAATTAAAAAGTTCGTTTATAAATCAGCACCAAAATATCTCTGGTAAGATTACATTACATAAATTATTCTTTAAAAAGTCCATACCTTACTTTGTTATTTTTCTATTTATTCAAATGAGCTTGGAAAAAAAACGAATAAAAAGCAAATCGAACGAACTTTAAAAAATTATTTTCTATTCAAGTTTCCTGTTTGTTTTCAAAGTAACGCCTGTGTTTCGATCCAACACAACAATATGAAGACAACGTTTAAAAGCTTCCAGAGTGACAGCACCATGCACTGTACTAATAATATAATACCTCTATGAGCTATATATATATACACCAGCACCAACACACCGCACGGAGGACATGCAGGAAGAACCTGTTTCACATTACATCGTTCATTCAAGTAAGGTGAAAAATATAATGCTTTTTTTCTTTTTTTTCCTTTTTTTATACAAACCACAGCATCATCAACAACCAGCTATCGCCAAAATTAGGGAGAGAATTCTTTGGTGTGCTCTGTACTCTTCCAGGAAAAGAAAAGGGGGGGGGGAGGAAAAAAAAAGGGATGATGTCAGAAAATAAATTAATTCTACTATACAAAATAATCGCGTTCACATACACGTTATTAACAATGACAAGACGACATCCACCATTCACGGCACACAAGCCACATTTCCACATGCCCGGGGGGATGGGGGGGGGAGGCTGCCGTTGCTCCTCTCGGGGTCTCTGAGGAGGAATTAGCACTCTTTAGGTTATTTGCCCCCCGCTCCTGATGGACGGGCGATGGGTGTAGGTGTCCCTAACCTCCCTAGCTCCCGCCCCACACCCCTCGGCCTCTGGGATGGGCGCTAGGGGGTGAGGTTTAGGGGGGTGAAGGGCACCCTGACCCCCCCAGCCTTCTCCCCCCTCCCCGTTTCTTCCCCGCAGCTCCGGTCCCCTCCTCTCAGGTGATTCCACCCGGCCACCGCAGGGAGATAGTGAAAAGGATAGAGAGAGGAAATAAACCTAAAATATATAGTTACATATAAAATAACAATTAAAAACTCATACCCTATCCCAGCGCTCCCCCTCCCCTCGCCGGGCCTGGAGGGGGGGGGGGGTGTCTCCCCCTCCCAACCCCAAACTGACTGCACAGGAGGCTGGAGGGAGCAAGAGGCAAAATCTTCCTCTGCGAGTCGAACTTTAATATAATAATAATAACCACAGTAATAAGAATACCAACCCCAGGAAAAGGGGAATTAGCTGTCAGTTTCTGCATGTTTGGTTGGTTTTTTTTCAGGAAAACCCTAAAATGTATCACAACATCGCAGTTGTCAAATAGCAGCGGTTTTCTTTCATTCTCCGGCTCCGTTTTAGGAGCCCTACACGTACAAACCGTGGAGGAGCGGTAAGGGAGTGCTGCATCTTTTGTCTTCCCTTCCCTAAATCGTTTTCATATGGTTACAGCTAAGGGAGAAAGAAAGAAAGAAAGCTGGAGAGAAAATGCCGAGTCCAGGTGGGACCCCACGACTCCGGGAGAAGCCAACAATTACAAAGGAGCTGAGCTGCAAGAGGGGCGGGAAAATGGTTTTATTTCATTTTATTTGAAAGGATGTGTAACCTGTCCTCGACTGGCCGGAGCTTCGGCAGGTGCTGCTTTACAGTCTGGAGGCCTCTGCAAACCTGGCACTTTACCCAGGCTGGAGAGGAGACACCGGGGGAGGGGGGTGGCAGCTCCAGGATTTGAGAAGCCGCTGCAGAGAATGGCAGGGCCCTGACTGCCCCTGCTCAATGGTCAAGAGCAGCCCCGCATGGGCAGGGTGGGAGCCAGGCATCTCCTTTGGCACCGTCCCTCTGCGAAGCGTGCGGCTCGGGTTGCTGGGATGGCCCAGCGCGGCGTTATTAACGCTGCTTCTTACCGACAGAAAAAAAAAAAAGAAAAAATTAAAAACTCCGAGTCTCTTTAATTAAATTAGTTACCGTACAAACACCATAGGGTTTCGTACACGGAATAAATAGCGCGAGTCAAACCTGATGGCGCTTCCACGCCAGCCCTCCCACTCCTTTGCTCCCGGGCAGCTTAGGTCAGTGCAGCAGGGCCGGAGACAACAGCGGCACGGCACGGCTCAGCCCGGCCCTAGGGAGCGGTTCTGCCCCCCGAGGTCCTGCGGGGCTCATCCCCCTCGGAGGTCGGGGAGGTGTCGCGGCTGGAGGGGGTGCGGGGCCGTCGGGGAGCGCCCCCGGCCTGACAGACGTACCACTCACTGAGGTCGGTGACCGGCGGAGAGAGGGCAGCGGTGGGGCCGCGGGGTGGCTCGGCTGCCAGAGCGGCCTCAGGGGGTAGCGGCCCGTCGGGGGGCCCTGCCGCCGCAGCCGTGTAGCCCTGGGAGCCCAGCGGCGGAGAGGGCGAAGGGGACTTGCAGTGGATCTTCATGTGCTTCCGCAAGGAGCTAGGGTGGGTGTAGGACTTGTCGCAGCCGCGGATCTTGCAGTAGTAGGGCTTGTCCGAGGTGTGGACGTGGGAGTGCTTCTTGCGGTCACTGCTGTTAGCGAACTTCCTCTCGCAGCCGTCGAACTCGCACTTGAAGGGCTTCTCCCCTGCCGGGACACAGCAACGGCACCGTTACCGGGGGGCGGGGGCACGGCCTTGCCCGCAGCCTGTCCGCAGCACCGGCAGCCCCTCCGAGGCGAGCAGCAGGGCAAAGCCTCCCTCCTTCTTCCCCTCTTTTCCCCTTTTCCTCCCCACCTCACGACAGTCGTGACATGCCCGAGACTTCCGGCTTTCCCCCCGTGATTCTCAAACCGTGCAACGCGGTTGGCGGTCCCCAAACCGGGAGCCCCGGGCTGGCAGCGGCAGCGGGGCCGGGCCTTGTTTGCCCCGCGCACACGAGGAACCTTCATTACGGCTCTAATGACCGAGCCCAAACAAAACCCCTCAATGCCTTTGCCTCCGAGGGCTGGCGCTTGCCGGCAGCCAGGCTCTCCTGGCACTTCTCCTGAGTAATCCTTTCCCAGTGGGGCACTGTGCTGTGGAATAATTAGTCGGGGGGGGAGCGGGGGGGGGGGGGGGGGGAATACAAGTAACACCTGTTTAAGAATCCTGGTATAAAAAGGGAATATCCTGGTATAAAGAGGGAGCAAGTATCCTGGTATAAATATGGAGCACCCAGCGGCCCGTACTGGGGACTGGCAGGTTGTGGGGGGACACCAGCCCAAACACCGGTGATGGTTACCTCAGGCTAATTTGTTTCTAAAGAAAATCTCTGTCCGAACTATTTTAAGAGCTTTACACTTTGCTGAAGAGTTAAAGGGGTTGTGAAAATCAGCCCGGGGCGAGTTTACTTGGAGTACCTTTCACACACACACACCTGGCTCCCGACATACCATACCCTGGGACATACATATATATGTTCCGGCACATATGGATGTGCCCCGGACGGACTCTTCCCCACAGATCCCATTCCACAGAACAGGGCTGAGTAAATGCTTAGTGCTGAGAGACCAGAGTTAAAAAAATAAACTTGCCGGATCCCTTCACTGCCCATGAAGGAGAGTTTCTTACAGCAACTGTTTCTTCTTCCCCTGCCACGTTACCCATGGACCCGGAGTAAACAGACCTGCATCGATAACCCCTGCCACGACTATTGCGACTCTTGAGTCAAAAAATGCTGTCTGGTTAGGCATGGCCGATGGGTATTTTCAGGTCTGTTTTGCTGTGAGCACTCGGAAATAACAACCCTGCAGGTCTCTCGGTGGATATTTTCTTATTTTTCACCAGGCGATTTTTACTGCTCCTTCCATTTGTAAAATCGTACCGTGTTTAGCAAGAGAATAAAGGGGAAAATAAAACGATTTTTACGCTTTAAAAGTAGCTATTTCTTGGCTGTTACCATAACAACATGTGCCTCCGCAGCTGACTTATATGTCAACTTTTTCAATTAAAATCCGCTCACCTACCAGCGAAGTGAGACCAGTTGAAAGAGCAAGTTTACCTTTAATACATATATATATGTAAAAAAGATGGCAAGAAAATGTATCTCGTGGGGTTTAACTGGATTTTCCACAAGCATGCTCCCACTCCAACCGAGACAAATCTCGAGTCACTACGTTTGTTCATTAATCATTGTTTTTCCTGGAGAAATAAAGCGAATCTGCCGGATTCTGCCCGTATTACCGCAGAGATGCAGGCTTACCCGTCCCCAAGCTTAACTTCCCCTGAGGGATGCTCCTACCCGCCCAAACTGCCTCCCCCTCCTCTGTCGAGGATTTAGGAAGTGCCTTCCCCCCACTCGTGGAGACCCACCCGAGGGCTGCGCACCCGTCGAAGGAACGAAGGAGGGAGGCAGGACCCGGGGTACCGCTCTCTCTCGGGACCTTCGAGGGATGCGTAACCCCCGGGTAGCTCCTCCTCGCCTGCCTCCGGATCGCGACGATCCAATTCCACATAAATCCAGGAGCGGAGAAGATGCCGGAGTGTCCCTGGCATGCTGACGAGGGCGTCACGTCAGAGTTTAACCGTTTGTAGGTGGTTTCAACCCAAGAAAGAGGTTGAGAGGCCGGGAGCCGTCCCCTGACTCCTCCCGGCAGCAGCGGTGCCAGCGGCGGGGGCGTGGGAGGGAGGGCACCGAAAGGCTTTGGGGTCACTTTTGTCGGGGGGAAGGGATGATGTCTTTGTGGGGGAAGTCTGGCGATCCTGAGCACCTTCTCAGCGAGGGAGTAGCGATTTTGCAGGAGAGGGGGGGTCCCATTCCCTTTAGCATGCACCGGGAGCGGGGACAGTGTTTTGTTCCCAGAATAGGGACAGGGCTGCAGGGCGCGGTGTGATTCTTTTGAGGAAAAGAAGGGAAAAAAACACGAGCGAGCAAATGCCCCCTGAATTACTGACATGCTCTTCTTCCTGCAGGATTACCAGAAACACGCAAAATCCCCTAATAATACAATAACGGTGTTATCATTTCCCCCTCTCCACACAAAAATGCCCATAATAAACCAATAGTTTGTAAACCTCTTTTGCTCGCAGGCTGAACATGACTAAATTAAAGCTGAGGCGGCAAAATTACAGTAATTAATCCAATCGGGACTGGCAGAGGGGTTGGGATCCCCCTTCCACCCAACGGCTGGCTTCCTGGGGAAGGAGTCACGTCCCATTCGCCTTCCCGTGGGTCGTGTCATTCGAGGCGGGCTCTCGCCACCCACCCGGAGGGCTGCTTTGTTGCAACTGCCCTTTCTGCATGGAAATAGTCCCCCCAATCCTTGGACTCAGGCATGGGCACCCTCCCGGGGTCTGAGAACGCGTCGCAGAAAGGGGAACCCCTCTCCTCCAGCCCTTCAAGAGGTACACAGCATCCGACTAGCTGCGGGTGCCCCCCGACTGCAAACTTCTCCAAATTTCCATTGCAAGAGGCCATGTCCCACAAAGGGCCTCGGGGCAATACTGGGCCACAGCTCCGAGGTGCATATTTAGGTTATCTGTGGGAGGAGTGTCGTTTTCCCGCTGAAGCCCTCTGCCCCCACCCCAAGCATTCCCCGAACGCCCACCCCCCTTGGAGCTGGGATGGAGAAGCAGTTGAGAAGCCCAGAAAGGTCCGCAGTGAAGTTTTGTTTTCCAAACTAAAAGAGATGGGAAAGGCAGGATGACAAAAACACGGGCCTCCACCGTTTAACTCGTTCCGCAGTGCCATTAACGCAACAACAACCACCCCTCAAAAAATATGTCAGACCCCCGCAGGAGAAATCCCCATATCCCTCTCCCACCCCCCCCACTCCCCCACCCGGCTTTGGGAGTAGGGAGCTGGGCATCCTCAGGTCTCCGCAGCTGTATATGGGTTCATGCCTGACATATTCTGGAGATAAAAATCTATAATCCTTTCCGCCATGGACCATTTGGTTTTACATCGGAATAACACGTTGCACGGTCGCCGCTTTTCTCTTCCCGAGCAGCACACAATAAATCAAGAAAGCAATTACGGCAACTCCACTTCCTTAAGTGTCCTCCGAGGAATAATATTTGTCTACCACTATAAATCCCGGCTTCGTTCGTTTTCGGCGGAATTTTTTTTCTTTACACCCACACCGAAATGAGTATTTCGGGGATGGGGAGGAAGGAGAAGAGAGGGAAGGAGAAAGGAAATATATATATATATATATATATATAAAAGAATAAATAAAAAAGGAAAAAGAAATAAAAGACTTATATGCTCAAACACACGCGGAGCCCCGCGCCGGGTCCCCCCGTCCTCCTGCCATTCCCCTGGGGTGCCGCTCCCTTCTCCCCGGCCCCCGGCGCCCCGTTGTGTACCCGAACTGCTTTGAAGTTTCCTCCTCAGACCCAAAAAGAGAAGGAAACGTTCCCCCGTCTCCACGGGCGGTAGAGCCCGGGCGCCAGCGGCAGTTTCAGGAGCGGAATCAGTACCGGTATCCCCGGCGGCACGGGCAGCCCCCGTAGCCCCGGCTGTCCCAGTAGCAACGACCGGCGGCGTCGGTATTCCCGGCAGCATCGGTAGTTCCCGTAGGGGCAGCCCCAGCAGCGCTGGTCGTAGAGCAGCCCCCGTAGCGGAGGTAGCGCGGTAGCCCCGATAGTATCGGTAGCCCCGAGCGCCGCCGCTGCCGCCCGCAGCTCAAGGGAACTGCGCCCCCAAGAGCCCCCGGCCCCATCTCCTCCGGGCCAAGCGTTATCCCGACCGGCTCCATCCCCAACGACAGAACCGGCAGGAAAAGCAGAACTGTGGTCCTTCGGGAAGTGGGGAGGAGGTCGCAACACATCCCCTCGCCCCGAGTGACTCGGGCAGGGGCGAGCGGGCGCTTATCCTCTCCTCACTCTTCCCCAAGGGATGCTGTTCGTCTTCCCCCGGCTCCGCGTTATTTCTTATTCGGGGCATTTATTTACCCGGTGGTGCCAGGATGTGAGGAGGTGGGGGGCGGAGGGACCTGCCCAAAGTGCGGGGGGGGGGGGGGGGGGATGATGATAGAAGGGGGGACAGGGACACACACGTGTGTGTACAGGGCAGAGGGGCCGGGTGCGTGTGCGTGGCCCGTGTGCTGCCGAATTACTTATTCATGAAAAAGTCACATGTCCGGCGGTGCGCAGGAGAGGAGGAAAAGAGGAGGAAAGGGGGGAAAAAATGAAAAAGGAAGAAAACCCTTACATGGACGGCTGGGAGGGGGGAAGGCACCCACCTGTATGAGTCCGCTTGTGTATCTTGAGGTTTTCGGAGCGGGCGAAGACCTTCCCGCAGCCGGGGAAGGGGCAGGGAAAGGGTTTCTCTCCCGTGTGCACTCGGATGTGGTTGATGAGTTTGTATTTCGCTTTGAAGGGTTTGCCTTCCCGGGGACACTCCTCCCAGTAGCACACGTGGCTGCTCTGCTCGGGCCCGCCGACGTGCTCCACGGTGACATGGCTCACCAGCTCCTGCATCGTGCTGAAAGTTTTGGAGCAAGGTTTCCTACCGCCCGGTGGCGGCGGCGGAGGAGGAGGCGGAGGAGGCGGCTCCCGGTCGATCCACTTGCAGATCAGCTCTTGCTTGATGGGCTGCCGCATGTACCGCAGGAAGGCCCCTGCCGCTGCCGCCGCCGCAGCCGCCCCGACGTGGGCATGGTGATGGTGGTGATGATGATGGTGGTGATGGTGGTGTGGATGGGGGTGGTGCGGGTGCCCGTGCCCGGCCGCCGCCGCTGCCGCCAGGTTGAGGTTGACGGAGCCGTAACCTTGCAGCGCCGAGGAGGAAGCGGCGGCAGCCCCGTAGTGAGCCTCGGCGCGCCCGTAGAGCTCTCCGGCGGCGGCTGCCAGCCCCAGCCGCATCTGCCCGTTGAGAGGCGGGTGGCGGCCGGTAGGCGCGCCCTGCTCGCCGGGCGCCGGCGGGAAAGCGGCGTGCGCCCCGTCGGCCGCGCCGTAGGTGCCGGCGGCCGAGATGAAGACGCCGTGGGGAGGCGCGTGCGGGAGGTGGGGGGAGCCGGCGGGAGGGTGCTGCTCGCCCAGCGCCCCGTGCACCGCGGCGGCAGCAGCGGCAGCGGGCAGCTCCCGCCGCAAGATGAAGTCCCGGCCTCCCGCCCCCCCCGCCGGGTAGCCCTGGAGGGTAGTGGCGGGCGGCGCGTAAGCGGCGGCGGCGGTGGTGGCGGCGGCAGCGGTGGCGGCGGCGGTGGCGGTGGTGGCGGCGGGCGCAGCGAAGGCGGCGGCGGCGGCGGTGAGCGCCTCGGGAGTGAGCTTGAGGGCGGCCGGCTGCGCCATGTGCTCAGGTCCGAGCGGCGTGAGGGCACCGCCGGGGTCGCCGCCTGCGTCCCCGGGGTGGAGGTGGGCCGCGTGGTGGGGGTGGACGTGGTGGTTCCCCAGCCCCGGGAAGCCTGTCATGTTCTGTTGAGGATGGGGCTGAGCCGCTGCCAAATCTGCTAATCTCAGGGTCGGGTTCCTCTTGCTCAAAGGGGGCTCCATAACGACACAGCCAAGCCCATCTACGCTGGCTGTTGTTATTTTTTTCCCTCTACCCGCCTTCAAAAACATGTATATATTAAGCGGCTCTTTAACTTCTTTTGTCTGCGCTCCTAACTCCGCGCATCCCGGCCCCGCTCTGCCCGCCCGCGATTGGCAGAGCCCTCACCACACTCCGGCGGCGCGCTGGGAACGACGGCTCGGACACGGCACCGGAGGGATTGGACAGATCGCGATGATTGGCAGCGGATGGGGCCGCGCCATTGGCTCCCTTTCAGGCCGCCGGCGCAGCGGGGATCCGCCTCCACCGCCCCCCCACTGTCCCGTCGTGTCCGTGTCCCCCCTGCCTCGAAGTAGCACTTGCAAAACTTCGCGCGGGGCCCGACGGGGCGCACAACCCACACACCCCCCTCCGCCGACAGCGGGCAGCGCGAGTAGCAGCGGGCAGCAGCTGCCGCTCCCCCGGCGCTAGACGGGGCACCCCGAGCTGCTGTGTTGACGTTTGACTGCCCGCGGGATTTTCTCTGCTCGCCTGGGGGCTGCTGCCGGGCTCTGCCGTCGGTTCCCCTCTCTTTTCTCTTACATTTGGAGGGCCATAATCATTCATTCATCGGCGAGGCGGGAAAGCACACGCAGCACCTCGCACCCACACGAGACCGTGTGTGCTCATGCCCAAGGCGGACGACTGAAAGCAATACCAGGGGAAGCAGGCAACGTTTTCCTAAAAAGAAGGCGAAAGCGGCGGGGGAGGGTTGGGATGCCTTTCCTTTAAAAAATAGACGAGTAAGCAGTAGTGGAAGCGGGGGCGGGGGGAAACAGCACATGTTGGGGAGAAGTTTTGGGAGACCGCTCTCGCTGCCTCCCTGGGGCTTCCTCCTCCCAAGGATCCCCACAGCCCCCTCCCAGGGCGCCCCGTCGGGGGGCGGCCAGCCGTACCCCCCGCAGCTGCCTCCATCTGAGCCCGAATTCAGCGAGGGCAACCCAGGGATAAAAGCGCACCGGAGCATCCACGCCCCTCAAGGGTTTGGGATGCCGTGGGGAGCGGTGGGTTAGGAAATGGGGAGTCTCCGTAGGGCGGATGTCTGCCAGGAGCTGTTGCCTTCTGCGAAAAGGCAGGAGAAATATGATTCTCCTAAAGACAGCAGAGGTGGGGGGATGGGCCAGACCGGAGGAACGATGGGAGAGACCCTGGGGTGTGGGGTGTATTGGTCCTCGAAGGTGCAGGGCCAAACCGGCCCCTTCCGCACAAAGGAGGATGCTGCCGTTTGGGGGTGCCGAAAAGGCGGGGCCAGGGATTTCCCTGCCCAGCCAAAAGGGCTGGAAAAGCATTGCCGCGAGTTCTCTCTGGGGCTGCGGGAGATGTGGCCCTTTCTGATATGTCATCCACTTTTCTGAGGCTGCTGGTCCTACCGGGAGTGCCTGGCGCTCCCGCGCTCTTGGGAGAGAATTCCAAGGACTTCTGCGGGGCGGGGGGGGGGACGCTCCTCTGCCAAACCAGGAGAGGAAACGGGGCGGGGGGTGCCGGAGGACACCTCCATCCCCAAACACACATCCGCCTCCCGGTCCTCCCCACCCAGTGAATCTCCCTTGCCCAAACTACATCTGTGCCTCCCCGCTGCTACCCTTTGCAGAGCCCCGTTCAAAGGAAGCTCCGTGACGGTCCGGCATTTCCTGGGACAGACTCCAGCCCTCCCCTCCTCCCTCCCGCCGCCACTCACGGAGGAGAAACTCGCAGGATTTAGCCCACAGCTGCCAAAAGAGGAAGAGTGCTGGGGGCAAGAGCTGTAGCGCAGGAGGCGCCCCAGAGGTCCCCCTCTCTAAGACCAAGTCCCGGGGGTGCCTCCCACCCCCGGCGCCGAACCAGTGCCTTGATGGGAGTTTCAGTGATGCTGCAAGGCAAGAATCGAGAATAAATAATCCCCAGGTTTTAAAAGGAGCTGCTCCATGGTTTTATGGAACTGTAAAAACTTCCCCTCGCAAACTAGCCGTAAGTCTATGCGGCTATTCCTATACGTCTATTTTCTAAACGTGCATCCAAACAGGATTCCAAATTCTCCCCAAATTCTGGGCACCGAGGTCCCGAGATACGATGGTTTGATGGGAGATGCTGTGGAGGTGAAGAACAGCGTCGCGCCCCGCGGACCCTTGCGCATGCCTCGACGTCCCGCTCTTGTTAAACGCAGCGTGATATGTATCTGTCATCGATTTAATATGTCTTAATTCAAATATATCCCCCCAATCAATTTCTTTTTATGAGGGGCTATAAAACAAAGAAAATATTTTATAGCTGGGTAATAAGCAGCTGACCTGTGGGGAGGGAGGGCTTGGCCGAGGCTAACGTGGAAAATCTCCCATTTTTAGGACTCTCTGCAAAAGCGTCCTGCCTCCTGAAGCCGCCTGCCCTAGCCGAGTGGATTTTGGATAGTACTAGCTCCAAAAGGGCCATGAAAAATTTACAACCCATTAACTCACAGATCCCAGCTCAGGCCAAGGCTGCCACAGTGGTGGGGGCTGCAGAGGAAGGAGGCGGCTGGTACCCCCCTCCCAGCCCCCCAAACCCCCGGCAGCGCCCTTCGGCGGTCGGCTCGGTGCCCTGCTCCGGCGGCGGAACCGGCTGCGAAGCCCTCCCACCGTGCCCCTCTCAGCGGCAAACCGGCCAAGGGACATCGGGGGAGGCTGGAGAGGCGGGGTGAAAGCCTTGAAAACCTCGAATACATTTCGTAAAGATTCCTCCATAAACAGAGCTCGGGACATCGGTTTTAGCGCGGGAGGGGTGGGGGGTGGGGAGAGAGATAGCTGTAAAACTCCGCGCTATAATCTGTATTATGTAAATGCATGCTAATGAGCATGAGTACCATTTACAAACAATCCTCTTTAATGCACGTCTTATTGATAGTTAGGGAGCGGAGAGCAATATTTTATAACTGTGAAACCTTCTTCTAGGGAACCTTTGGGAAGTGAGCGCGATCGCAGCTTTTCTCGTCAAGACATCGAGATCTATTTCCACAAATTCTGTCAAAATAGCTTGCCACCCACCTGACCCTTCGCTGGGAGTAACCCCGGTACCAACTCGCTGTCCCGTCGGGATGTAGCAAGGAGGCACCGGGCCCGCGGGCGGGAGAGGGGGTAGTGACTGCCCATGAACAAGGAAGGGAGAAAGTGGGGCCATTTGGCAGCAAGGCTCCCCCTCTCTCCTTTTTGGAGGGAATGACGGAGGGTATAAGATATTTATACCCTTAAAAATGAACTCCTATTCCGGCCAATAAACCCCCTGTTTTCCTCTCCCCATGCACTCCAGTGGGAGCCCAAGGGCAGGGATACGGTCCCGGGAGGGTGCCGGCGCTGTACCCTCCGTCGGGGTTGCAGCGGCCGTCGGAGCTGCCGGGGCTGGGACCGCCGTCCGTTTTGGGAAGGGGATTTACGGGCAGAAGGTTCGGAGCTGCCGCTTTGGGTGTGCGCCTCTGTGGGGTAAGCAGGGTCCGTTCCCGCACATGCCCTTCTGGGATTTACTCAAATAGGGATAAAATAAAGATTAAAAAATCCCCATCCTTCAATCTCTCTGTGTATATATATATACACACACATTTCGCATACAGAGAGAGAAAGAGAGAGGCGGCCTCGGTAAACCCAGGCCAAATTTTATTCTGCGCTCCTTCTCCACACACCTCCCTCTCCCCACCGCCCCCCCTTCCCCTCTCCCCGCAGCTGAACGTCACCGTTGGAAGAAGCTGTTGAGATAAATCAAATAGTGACACTTTGACGGCTTTACTTGTATAAGCAATATGGTTACCATATGGCATTGTTATTTATGAATGACAGCAGAAATTGTATTACAAAGTCCATCGCGCTTTATTGGGACGCTTCTCCTCTGCCTCAAACCTTTGTGGGCATCCCGAAAGATCCATCTAATAAATCTCAGCAGCGCTGCAGCAAAACCCCATTTCTGAGGGGTGTTACGCCAGCTGCGAAGGGAGGCGGCAGCGGGACAGGGCGCAGGGCGCGCAAAGTGCGCGGCGTTGCGCGTCTCTTCCATCGCAGCTGGGCTAGGCAGGGACACCGGCTGCCGCTCGGCAGAGGAAAATCCCGTCCTGGAAATCTCCACCGCACTGCAACTTCAGCCGCCTCCGTCTCATGGCACAGCCGCCGTGAGTGGAGTTTTATACCGCAACTTCTACTTATATATATATATAAATATATAAGTGCAACTGAGAGAATAATAAACATTAATGGCACCAAAGAGAGGTGCTGCTTTCTGCTGCATCCCACTCCCTGCCTGGAGGTTTAAAAAGGGGGGGAGGGAGGCATTTAAAAGTTATAGCTTTGGCTGAGATTTTCATTATTCCACCCCCGTTTTTTTTTTTTTTCTTTTACATTACGCTGCCGGTAGAGTCTGACAAAGAACTTTTGTCCCAAAGTGTGTTTTACAGAGGGAGGCTACAGCGCAACACATGTGGTCTTCACGGGTCATAGGTCGAACGGCCTAGAAGTGGCTCAGACCGGCACCATCAAAGGTAACCTGCAATTTAATATCCTGTTGATGAGCTTGTTGAATTTATGAGTGTCTGTGACACAGACAACGGTGCAAAGCCGTGCTGCTCAGCTGGCCTCTCCTTCCCAGGCTACAGGCCGTCTTCATGCCCCCTGCCCCGCACCTCCTCCCGTTACTCCGGGGAGAAGTGAAGCTTGAATCTGGAGGGGGAAAGACCCCCTCTTCCCCACAACCCAACCGCTGGTCGGCCTTTCCACCTTGGTTTTCCCGGCAAGGCTGCCTCCAGCCGCCTCATCCAGCGGACAGAGTCTCTGCTGCTCAGGGTGAAGGAAGGAGGAAGGCAGAGGGGGATGGAGAGAGAGAGTGAAGGAAGGAGGGAAGAAGGGATGGAGGGAGTGCGGAGCAGTCCCCTCAACAACCCTGGCCTGGCGGTGACAACCCCTGGGGACAGGAGGTGGAAGGCGAGGGAGTTATATGCTGTTCAGGGGAAGGAAGAAATTGCTCTCGCTGGTCCCTCCAGCCCCTCCAGCTCCCTCCTTATCAGCAGTGGCAAGAATAAGAGCAGAGCAGTTTTAAAGAAAATTTCGGCACACTTACAGACAGGGGAGATCCTCTCCCGGGAAAGGCTGACAGTTACCCTGTGGGTCTGGCACCTCCAGAAAGCTGTTCAAAAGCTAGTTTCAGTAAACCCGCGTAGCACCAACACTGGGTGACCGCTTGCTTCCCTCCCTCAGTAGCTGTCGTGAGGCGAAAGCTGTGTTTCTGGCAGGGGCCCGGAAAGTGAGAGCCGTCTGGCTGCTGGGGCCCCTGCCCATTTCCCCCCGTCCTCCCCTTCCTCCCTTACCCCCTGCCCGTGTTACCCTGTGACACCGGGGAAAAGGGGCTTGCGGTTCTGAGCGAAATAATGCACTTCTTAGGAGGGACGGCAACGTGACTTTGAACTTGGATCAGTTCCTCTGTTTCCTGCACAGAGAGCAGGGCTGGAGTCCTGAAAGAATAGCAGAGTGCGACCAGCCCGCGGGGGCTCCCGCTGGAATTCAGCGTCCGCCCGTCCCTCCAGCCGTCCGTATGTCTGTCCATCCATTCGCCCATGCGTCCCCCAGAGAGGTGGCCCCGAGTGGGCAGAGCACAGGGGGCAGGAAAAGCAGGAAAGGAAAGAGAAAAAGGAATAAAAAGAGAAAAGAAAAAAAATAAGAGAAAAGGGAATTAAAGAAGAAAGGGAACAAGAGAAGGAGAGGAGAGAAAGAAAGAAAAAGAGAAGGAAGGAAGGAAGGAAGGAAGGAAGGAAGGAAGGAAGGAAGGCAGGAAGGAAGGAAGGAAGGATCCAGAAGGTAGGTATTTGTGTGATCATTCATCTTTTTTTATTCTTTCTTTCTGTTTGGGGTTTCTGGTTTGTGTTGTTATTTTGGGGTTGGGGTTTGTGTGTTTTTGTTGGTGTTTTGTTGTTTTTGTGTTTTTTTTTTCCAAAATAATGTTTATAACTGGGATTTTTCATGGACACCTCGGTTCTTTTTCTAATCTCAGATGTAGCAACTTATTTCACGTGTTTTTTGTGGTTTTTTTTTTGGGGGGGGGGTGGTGGTGGTGCGGGGAAAGCGTATCCAAGGCTCTAGTTGGCCGTATGTTTTTTTCACTAAACCCGAGGCAGACGATGCAGGAGCTCCAGCTTCCCGCTCCAGCTTGGGCTCTCGAAATCCTCACAGCGTTGGAGGACACGTCTCAGACCTCTGACTCGGCAATCTCTGAGAGAATGAAAAGAGTTTTGCTTGCGGTCTGTCCCTGGAAGCCTGGGGGGTCAGGACAAGGACAGCATATGCTCCCAAGCTGCAGCCTGGGAAGGCTATATCTGGGAAGCAGAACACTCCTGCCCGCAGAGACAGGACGGAGTGACGGCGTGGTGGAGAGGAGAGGGCTTCTGGCAGCAGAGGTGAATCTGCACTGAGATTCAATTTATCTTCTAATGTCTATTTCAGATTAGAAGGAATCCCATTTCTCCCCAAATTAAATCCTTGCCTTGTTCAAAGAGTAATGTCCGGTACTGGCACTTTCGACAGGCTTGGAAATCGTTTAACTATTTAGTGACACTGATGAAGAAAACCGTATTTCAACAAACTTTCTCTCTCCCTTTCTCTCTCTCTCTCCTTCCCTCTCCTTTTATTTCCTTCCTTCCTCCCTCCCTCCCTTCCTTCCTTCCTTCCCTCCCTCCCTCCCTCCCTTCCTTCCTTCCTTCCCTCCCTCCCTCCCTCCCTCCCTCCCTCCCTCCCTCCCTCCCTTCCTTCCTTCCCTCCCTCCCTCCCTCCCTCCCTCCTTTCCTTCCTTCCTTCCTTCCTTCCTTCCTTCCTTCCTTCCTTCCTTCCTTCCTTCCTTCCTTCCTTCCTTCCTTCCTTCCTTCCTTCCTTCCTTCCTTCCTTCCTTCCTTCCTTCCTTCCTTCCTTCCTTCCCTCCCTCCCTCCTTTCCTTCCTTCCTTCCTTCCTTCCTTCCTTCCTTCCTTCCTTCCTTCCTTCCTTCCTTCCTTCCTTCCTTCCTTCCTTCCTTCCTTCCTTCCTTCCTTCTTTCCTTCCTTCCTTCCTTCCCTCCCTCCCTCCTTCCTTCCTTCCCTCTGTCTTCCTTCCTTCCTTTCCTCTTTCTCTATCTATTTATATCTATCTATCTATCTATCTATCTATCTATCTATCTATCTATCTATCTATCTTTATATCTATCTCTTTCTACATCTACTTCTATCTACATCTACCTCTATCTACGTCTTTCTCTCTCCATCCATCCATCCATCCATCCATCCATCCATCCATCCATCCTATTGCTCGGACTCTAGGTCCAGGTTTGACAAAGCATTTAACGACGTGAGGAGCCACAAGAGGAATGTCACGTCGCAGGGAGAATTTCCGACAGCTTCCCCCCCCCCCCCCCGCCCCAACCCCCTGTATTTTGGGGTTGTCCCTCAGCACGCCCGGAGCCGATGGCGAACGAGACGCCAGGTTAAGTGCAGGACGGTTGAGACGACAACTGTTATGTCGGGGTTTAATTTTGACAAAGCCTTATTTATGGGCGAGCTGCTGGCCCCGAGATGATTATTTTTCAGGCACTACAAAACAAACCGGAGCAGCGGCCAGACATGTATTTACTGGAGGGGGAGGGGAAGGGGACTTGTTTGCTCTGTGTGTGTGTGCTGGCTGCATGCTTTTTTATTCCTGCCATGTAAGAATCCGGTTTCCAAATAACAATGGCAGGGAGGGTTTTGGGGTTGGGTTTTTATTTTTTTTTTTCCTTTCTTCCTGGGTTGTTTTTGTTTCTTTTTCAAGAGACAAGGAAAACTCCTGAAGCATCTGCTCTCGGGCGCACATTCACAACACACACACATCGAGTCCTCTGCTCCAGCACAAGTGGTTTAAAAGCTCCCCCCAAAACCCCTTTCCTCCTCTATTTTAATTTTTGTTTTATTTATTTATTTGCATTTTCTCCCAGCTGCGGTGACTTGAATTTGATTCTCCTCTCGCTCCCTTTATCGATCACGGGCTTCATCTGCTTTAGCCGAAAAGGGGGAAGGGGCTGCAGGATGCGCGAGTTCATCCCTCCTTCTGCCACAACCTAAAAAAAAAAAAAAAAAAAAAAAGAAGAAAAAAAAAAGAGAAAGATAAAGAAAAATAAAGGAAGGACCCTCTAGCCCCCCCCCCCCCCCCCCCCTCCCCGCCAGCACTCTGTTTATGTTTTAAGCCCCTCGCTTTGTTTGTTTGCCTCCCGAGGCAGGATCGCATGGCCAAGCGCACATCGATGTTTTCTGTGCTCGCCACCCCTTCCACTCGCCGCGGGAAAGGCGGGAGGGAAGGGGGGAGGAACACACACACCCGGCAACCCCCCAAAAGAAGCTGCCGGCGGTGCCGGGCAGAAGGCAGCCACCGGGTCCGTGCCATGCCGGGCGGGGGCCGGGCGGCAACGGGGCTGGTGGGGCGCGGGGCGGCCTCGCCGCCATTAGCCGGTGGCCGGGGACGCCCGGATGGACGGGGCGGCTCGGGCCAATGAGCGGGAGCCGGGAGAGAGGCCGGGCGGCGGGTGAAGGCGGTGTTGGGAGCGGAGCCGCCAGTGCGGGCGGGGAGAGGGAGAGAGGCTGGGGACGGGAGGGAGGGAGGAGGGAGGGAAAGAGGAAAAAGAGGGGGAGTGAAGGGAGGGGGAGAAAAATAAAAAGCCGCCGCCTCAGCAGCGCCCACCGAAATAAACAGAGGAGCGAGAGGCAGCGAGGGCGCGGGCGGAGCGGGGCTGCAGCTCCGCCGCCCCGGCCGCGCCGCTCCGGCCCCTGCGCTCCGCGGCCCCTTCCCGCCCCCCGCCTCCCCTCCCCAACCCCACCGCCGGCCTTATTGTTTTTAATCTGCCTCCGGCACCCCCTTTCTTGTCTTTCCCTCCCCACGCCCCTCCGCGGCGGCGGGTAGGGGCGGCGCGGCTCGGGGCACCCCCCGCCCCGGGTCCCTTCGCTCCGTGGGAACCCGCGGCTGCAAGTTTTTTTCTCCGTGAGAGACACCGCTAATGCCCGTCTGAGGATAAAACGAGAGCAAGGGCCCGGGGGCAGCAGGGGGCCAGAGGCGGCGGGGAGGGTGGCGGGGCGGCGGCGGTGGTGACATCCCGGTGGTGGTGACGGCGGCGGCGAAGTGGGGTGGGGGGGAGCGGCGTGTGTACGAGTCTCTCTGTGTGTGTGTGTGTGTGTGCGTGCGTGCGTGTGTGTGTGCCGCAGGGAACGGCGAGGCGAGCCTTGCCCCCCCCCCCCCCCCCCCCCAGCTCCGTCCCTCCCCCTGTTCCCCCTCCCCTCCCCTGCCCGCCCCCGGCTCAGCTCCTTTAATACACTTTGGTTCTCCGCTCGCTTTTGGACTCTGCTCTGCCTGGCTCCGGATACGGCGGCGGCGGCGGCAGTAGCGGGCCGGTGCGGGCGCGGGCGGCTGCGGCGGAGGCGGGGGGACGCGGCGGCTGCCGGGGGGAAGCAGCGCAGAGCGGCGGCGGCCCCGCGCCGGGCCGGGCGGGCCGCGGCAGCCCGGCATCGGCAGCGGTAGCGGGGCGGCGGCGGCGTCCCCGGAGCGGCGCGGACCATGCTGCTGGACGCCGGCCCGCAGTTCCCGGCCCTCGGCGTGGGCACCTTCGCCCGACACCACCACTCGGCCGCGGCGGAGATGCAGGACCGGGAGCTGAGCCTGGCGGCGCAGAACAGCTTCGTGGATTCGGCGGCGGCGCACATGGGCGCCTTCAAGCTCAACGCCGGCGCCCACGACCTCTCCCCGGGGCAGAGCTCGGCTTTCACCTCGCAGGCGCCCGGCTACCCCGCCGCCGCCCTGGGCCCCCACGCTGCACACGTCGGCTCCTACTCCGGAGCGCCCTTCAACTCCACCCGGGACTTCTTGTTTCGCAGCCGCGGCTTCGGGGATTCGTCGCCGGCCGGCGGGCAGCACGGCATCTTCGGCCCTGCGGCCGGCAGCCTGCACCACCCGCACACGGACGCTCAGAGCCACCTTCTCTTCCCGGGCATCCACGACCAGCATGGCCCCCACGCTTCCCAAAACGTCCTCAACGGGCAGATGCGCCTGGGTTTGCCGGGGGAAGTGTTCGCCCGGTCGGATCAGTACCGCCAGGTCTCCAGCCCCAGGACTGACCCATACTCGGCGGCTCAGCTGCACAACCAGTACGGCCCCATGAATATGAATATGGGCATGAACATGGCAGCCCACCACCATCACCATCCAGGTGCCTTTTTCCGCTACATGCGGCAGCAGTGCATCAAGCAAGAGCTCATCTGCAAGTGGATCGACCCCGAGCAGCTGAACAACCCCAAAAAAAGTTGCAATAAAACTTTCAGCACCATGCACGAGTTGGTCACCCACGTCTCGGTGGAGCACGTTGGGGGACCCGAGCAGAGCAACCACGTCTGCTACTGGGAGGAGTGTCCCCGGGAAGGCAAACCCTTCAAAGCCAAATACAAACTGGTCAATCATATCCGAGTGCACACGGGAGAGAAACCCTTCCCCTGCCCCTTCCCCGGCTGCGGAAAAGTTTTCGCCAGATCAGAAAACCTCAAAATTCACAAAAGGACGCACACAGGTAATGCGGGTTTCGTTCGGCAGATTATCCCCCTTTTGCCCGTGCCTATACATTATGTATAAAACCACATAGAAACTCAGGCAGGGAGATGTAAAATAATGAGAGTGATAAAATAACGATCCTGTTTAACATTCCCCCCCCCCCCCCCGCTCGATCCCACAGCTGCGTTTGTTTTGGTTTCTTCCCCACTAAATCCTCATTCCCTCA